GAGAGTGCAATGTGGGGCTCGAACCATGAGATCATGACCTGAGCACAAGTAGGACATTTAACCAACTGAGCCACCCAGGCGCCCCCAGAGAAGTAGGAAGGGAAGGTAGGAAGAGGATGGAAAAAAAAGAAGAAAGTATCCAATGGAAGAAATCTGGGAACAAGCACCAAGTAGGAGGACTCAGGTGGGGATAAGGAACCAAAGGAAAGAGCTCTCAAAACCAAACACTGAGAGTCCAGGATAGCCCTCCAAATCTGGTTCCTGAGCTCCCAGCCTTTCTGAGCCCTGCCCAGGGGTCAGGTATGGCCAGAATCCCACAGGAAGCTCCAGTCCCAAGACAGTCATACAGTTCTGCCCATTCCACATCCCTCATCCCCAACAAAGGACTCCAGTCCCCAAACTGCTAATAACAGAGATTTTAATGCATAAGGCACAGTGTAAGGCTTGGATCATTAAGCATCCTCATACTCCAGGGGTCCAGCAGGCTAAGCAAAAGCAGCAGGGACTACCTCCCCACTGCTGGGCAGCCCGGAGAGCCCCTGGGGAGGGAGGACATCTAGTCTTTGGCATGGTGTCTGGGGCAGGAAGTGACTAGCATGGTCCCTGCTACCCCTCCAGGGGTACTGCCACGAAGGGGCAGCTCTTTGGTCTGGAAAAACAATCAGTGCAAATGTCCAGGGTCGAGCTCTAGGGCAATCAAGGTGGCACAGTGCCCCAGGGCTGGCCAGTCTCTCGACCGTCCCCTTACCGCTCACGGGCAGCACGTGGGCTTCTTCTTGTTGGCAGTTAGGTAAAGGTTGCTGTCATCACTATTGATGCCTGAAGAAGGGTGGGAAATACGTGAGGCAGGGATGAGAGGTTCCCCGTGCTCTCTGCCACCCTCATCCAGGTAGGCACTCACGGACAACGTCCCCAATGCGCCGGGCCCCCGATTTCTCCAGCTCAGCCAGCACGTTGGCCTCAAAGGTCAGTGCCGCCACACGGAAGAAGAATTCCCGGACATTTTCACCTGACACGTGGAGCAAATGGGTGCTTAGGGGCAGTTCCAAGCCTGGGGTCACTGGGCACAGCTGAAGGTAGAGGAATGAGAGGCCAGGTAGGCGGGAGTGCCATTTCAAAAGACCTGAAGCCGCTGACTCACCAGTGAGAGATGAGACCGCCCAGTACTCAGCCTTCATCTCTTGGGCCACCTTGAGTGCGTCTTTCTCCATTAGCATATACTGAGCAGGAGTCTGACAGAAGGGCAGAGTCAGACGGCAAGGGTTGGGGAGGAGCCCCTCACCAAAATGGAAGTACCCCCTGACTGGCACACTTACACTCAAGTCCTTCTTGGAACCCACGAGGAAGAGAAGCACACTGGAAGGGTCGTTCTCCTTGAGTGCATCAGCTAGCCACTGCCTGCCATAGAGGGTAGACAATCAAGGATGATCGAGCTGGACAGGCTCCTCCTGCTGTCACTCATATGCCCATTACCCTCTCTCTGGTCCCCGATGCATTCTTCTTCACTACCGATATACCTGACCACCCCTCTTTTCTGAACCCTCTCTTCCCAAAGCCCCCATTACAGTGCAGCATCCCTACATACTTGGTATGTTCCAGGGAGGCCACATCATTCAGGTTGAAGACGATGATGATGGCTGGAAAAGTAGCAAAAACAGCTGACGTTACTGGCTCATTTCCCAAATCCCCCCAAGTCCTAGATTGGAGACCAGGAACACCCACCTGCCCCATCTCACCCCCGCCCTTACCTTGAGCCCCTCGGTAATAGGTTGATGCAATGCATTTGAACCTCTCCTGTCCAGCAGTATCCCAGCTGGGAGGAAGCAGGGGGTAAAACACGGGTATGTGGGAGGGGCCTGTGAGGTGGGGTATAGGTGCTGGGGGAAGGAATGGCTGGAAGGTATGGAGAAAGCACTCACAGCTGCAGACTGAAGGGGACGCCCAACACCTCAAATCGTTCCATCTCAAAGTCCACTCCAATGGTGGCCTTGTAATTCTTATCAAAAGTATCTTTGCAGAACCTGCAGGAGTACCAGATGCTCTGGCCCTGAGCCCAGTCCACCTGGCTAGGTCTGGCTGAACCCTGCTCGGCCCAAACCAGCCCAACTAGAGGTGCCTTCTTACCTATTAATGAGACAAGTCTTCCCTACGGACAGGTCCCCCACCACAATGACTTTGGAGATCTTAAATCTGCAGGACACAAAGGTGGGCAGGAGGAATGAGCACTAACTCTTGCAACCTAGAGAGTCTCAATGCTCCGTACTAGATCTATAACGTTAGCAGCACCCAGGCTGAGGTTACCATAGGCACGGGGCCTCCCAGGCAGCTTGCCTGGACACACTTGCTGGGGAGGAGTGTTTTCTGCTTCAGCATCAAAGAAACATGAATTGGAATCCCAGTTCTTACATTTACTAGCTGTGTGACTTTGGACAAGTTACTTGGCCTCTCTGAGCCTCAGTTTCAACATGTGTTAGGTAAAGATTTAGTATATATTCTATTGGGTTGTTGTGACAATTGAAATAAGATCAATGTCCTATATTCTGAGACATACCTCCCCTTCAGCCTCCACACATACATTTGATAACATCTCTGAAATCAGGATACAGCTTAAAAGTGATGGTGTTTTCCATTTAATAAAATACAATAACAGTAACCAACACACTGCCCGGGCACATAGTAAATGCTCAGTTAATGGTTGGCAAGTGTTATTAGTATTACCTTCTTTTACCCATAACGGGACACATCCCTCCAGGCACATCCCCCTGCCCTAGGGCTCAAATGTGTGGTATGTGGGAAGCTGAGCTCGTGACCCCGCCAGCCCCGCACCTCCCCCTTGCACACCTTCTGTTTCAGGAAGTGAACTACCACCTTTCTACCCCACCCCATTTCATAGGACTCAACACAAGCTTGCTGGGAAGAAAAGGGAGAACACATGGATATAAAAAGGGGGAATAACCATATATAGCTGGGAGAAGCTGAAACGGAGCCCCAGGGGTGCTTGTGCACCCTAGCTTTGACTACAGGGTTTCCTGAGCCTTCCTTTCTTTGTTAAGGGTGTCTAACTCACCCCACGGTGCCTGTCCGGTGCTCCTGGCAGGCGCAGGTGACGCGGGGGTTGAAGTCTCTGTGCACGTGCAAAGCGGCCTCCTTCCTCAGGCACTGAGAGGAATCGAAGAGAATGGGACTCACCCACTCCCGGCCCATGTCCCGCAGCCAAGCTGCGCTGGGCGGGGGTAGGGGACCACCCAGAAGCAGCCGACCTAGCCGGGTGGCAGGGCTGGGCCCAAGCCTCTAACTGATCTAGTGCCGCCTCCCCCCGCCCACACCCCACCGCAGCCAGAAGCCCGACGCGGCCCTGGAGCCTACCTGGGGCAGCTCCGCCAGGACGCGGTCCCTCCGCACCGGCGCCAGAATGTTCATCTCGCCTACGGCCTTGCGGGGAGCCCCGAGAAGGCACTGGAGCCTGATCCGCCCCAGCGACCCGGGCCCGTGGAGACCCGACAATCACCCGCGACCGAGGTGTCCCGACTATAACTCTGGGCCACGGGGAGCCTCCAGGAGCTCGCGGCCTCGGAGACGCTACGACCACAGCGGGCCACGGGGATGAAACAATCATCCGAGGCCGGGGCGAACCCACAATCACCCGGGCCCGGGGGGTCCCGAGGATGACTCGGGGGCGGGGAGACTCCTCCGCCGCCAAATGGGGGCGGGAAGTCCCGTCCGGAGGGGGCCGGGCCCGCGCAGACCCCACAATAACTCGGGGTCGGATAGTTCCTACAATGACTCGGGGCCGCGGTGACCCGACGACAACTCGGGGTTCAGGCGGCCCTACCATAACAGAGCTGCCTGGGGGCGCGGAGCGGCCCCGCCGCACGGGGTCAGTGTGCTCAGGGATGGCGCTGCAAGGCCCGCGGGCTGCTGGAGGAGGGGGCCTGGGTCCCAGACCGCAGCAGGACCTGGCGTCCCACTCAGCTCTCCCTCCGCGAGCGCTGTAACATGATCCCCGGAAATTCCTGGAGAAGGGCCGCCCCCCGCCCCTCTCCCGGCAGCTCCAGGCCTCGCGGGCTGTCCCAACCTCCCCTCCTCTCCTCCCCACTGCGCTGTCCCAGCTCTGGCTACCCTTCCAGATGCCCCACGGGCACCGGGACCGCCTCCACGCAGGCTGGAACCTGTCCAGATCGAGGTCTCCCAGGTTGCTCTCCCTTGCAACTCTGTGCCGGGCTGCGGCTTCAAGGGGACCCTTACCCAGGCAAACTGGTGATGGAGAACCGTGATTGCTGCGCAGTATCTGGCTAGGCAGGCCAGGAACCCGCGGGGAGGGGAAAGGAGGAGAGAAGGGGCCCGAGGAGAGGCGGCGCTTCCCTCCTCAACTCCAGGCCGAGGACGTGACTCATAGAGTCTGCCCTCGCTCGCCCTTCTGCCCTGGGATAGGATGGGGTGGGGGGAAGCACACAGGGGATGCCAGGGTCGGAATGGGATGCTCACCGAGAAAAGAGACGTCTGAAGTCTGGTGTCTTTTCCTTTGAAGCGGTGTAGATTGACGGGTGGGGAGGCTGAAGACCACGCCTGGATGGAAGATAAAGAAGGGGTAGGTAGACCTGAAACTCTGCCCTTTGGGTAGGTCACCGCTTTGGGACATGGGGCCTCTGCTCTGGTATAGGCGTTCTCTCTGGTCCCATTGGAACCAACCCTCAAGGACAACTTTTCCATTCTGCAGTTCTGCAGGATAAAAGAGGGGTGTGGCACACAATAATTCTCACTGTCAAAGGGGGAGCCCTGGCTCCAAAGAGGAGAGGAGGAAGAAAGGTCAGGGTGGAGGTGGGATAGACACAGACCCTCACAGAAGCAAACCTGAGCTTTACTAAAACTTGCTCTGTGTCAGGAACTGATTTTGAGGATGCAAACATGACTGAAGCAAGGATGGGAGGACTACTTAAAGGGAGGGGACTGTAAATGAAATTATTCACAAGAATTAGCAAATCCTGGAGAAATCTGTACACTGGGTGTTTGGAATATTGGTAGAGTTTCAAGAGTATTATTGGGAAAACACACAAAATCTGACTGTCACAGGTAAAGAGGGGCAGATGTGGCCACCTTCTACCTCCTCGGATACTTTCCTCTTCCCCTCTGCCTGACTCAAACTTTTCTTTCTTTCTTTTTTTTTTTTAATTTTTAAAAAATGTTTACTTATTTATTTTGAGACAGAGAGAGAGAGCCCGCGAGAGCGCAAACATGGGGGCGAGGCAGAGAGAAAATCCCAAGCGGGCTCCTAACTGTCAATGTGGGGCTCCAACCCCCCAACCGTGAGATCATGACCTGAGCCAAAATCAAGAGTCCCACGCTTAACCGGCAGCCACCTAGGCTCCCCTTGACTTTTTCTAACACCAAATCACTGTTATTGATAAACTACGTCCCCTCTCTGGACCCAAATTTCTACAGATATTGTTTGAAGGACTTGAACCAAATTCTGCTCTAACGTTCTAGAACTTCGCTTTACTCTCCAAATCAACCTAATTATATGCACTTCAGTTTTCAGTGTTACTGTCTCCTGCAACTACGATCCTCTTTCCTCAAGATGGAAAGCGCTCAAGACCAAACGCAAGCGGCAGCTGGCTGCACCATCCACCATCCACCCGCAGCAGCAAATAAACACGTGTCTCCAAAACACTACAACTCCCAAGAAGCTATAGTGTCTTTCGAGGGAAGAGGTGGAGCATGCTTAATCACTCTGGGGAGGAAACTAAACCTAACTACCATTCCCGGCGGTCTCCGCGCCATAGATTATCCAATGAGCTTTAAATGAAAAGTATCGCGATTCTTCCGTGAGACTTGGCTCTATAAGCCCCTGGAAACAAGCCTCGGAAATCCCTTTCACGAAGATGGCGCCGAAGGCGAAGAAGGAAGGTCTGTGCTGGGGCTGGGGGTACCGCAGGTAGTTGGCCTGGGATTCCCGCAGAGTGAACAAACTGGGAGGATGGAGGCTGAGCTAGTTCTTGGGGTGTCTGCTCCGGAGCTACTTCTAGCATTCTGCCACTCTACGGCGCGCGTGGGCCCAGCCGCATGGGCTGAGCTCCGTGACAGGGTTTGGGGAGGCAAGTCCGGCCGCCGCCACCTGTCGGGGCTGCCAGACTGTTGGCTTTGGGGAACTACACGCATCCATAGGCCGGAGTTTCATGTCTCCAGACCTGAGTTGTTGTCCGCACCTAATTTTCCTTTTTTCCACGTGTTAGACGGGGCTATGAACAGTTAAAACTATTAGAGTATATGTTGTCAAGTATCAAGCATTCGATCATTGCTAGGTTTTTTTTTTTTTTTTCGTCGAATCGCTGGAGTTATTCCAAGTTCGCCCCAGTACCGTGCATATGATGGAAAAATTGTAACCTCCTGAGACTTGTGATGTCTTCAAAGGAACCGCTGATGCACGTGTGCCTTGGAGCGCCCGCTAGGGGTCTTGAGGACGGAAGTGAATGGTTTCTGAATCCCGTGCCTTCATATTCTTTATTTTAGCCCCTGCCCCTCCCAAAGCCGAAGCCAAAGCAAAGGCTTTGAAGGCCAAGAAAGCAGTGCTGAAAGGCGTCCACAGTCATAAAAAAAAGAAGATCCGTACGTCACCTACATTCCGACGGCCCAAGACACTGCGTCTCCGAAGACAGCCCAAATATCCTCGAAAGAGCGCCCCCAGGAGAAACAAGTCAGTACTGCCCCTTTCCCATGAAAAGATCTTGGGTATCCTCCATTCGTAATTTGGAAATTTACCAGACCTACAGCACGTCTTGTCAAATATCTGTTGGTACCTAGTGTGCGTGTCTTAATAGTGTGAAGAGATTGTTAATGCCCTATTTAAGGACAAGAGGAGGCATTTTGACAACATTGGCAGGCATTAAGACAACTCAGTGACTTCTGGTTATTAGCTTAATTATTGCTTCACATATGGTCAGGGTTTTAAAGTCTGCTTTCTTGGAGTATCTAGTAGGACTTTGATACATGCTTTTGTTTTGGAGTTCCCTATTACTGTAGGGGACAGTCCTTGATGGTGACAGTGTGGGATGATTCTAGGTTGATAAGGATATTTAATAATCTGTATTAATCAGAGAAGGCCTGCAGCGGTGTATAGAAGCTTCTCGTTTACTCTCAACTCGTTAAACTCAAGGAATAGTTGGGGGGAGGGGAGGGTTGGAGTTTTTGAGTATTTGCCACACTACTGGTAATAACTGACCTTAAGGGCCACAGATTAAAACACCAGTAGTAATTGCCACCTCCCACTGCTTTCCTAAGAAAAAGGCAGGAGTGGGTTCTGCCCCATTTGGACCTAGGAGTTAGTGTGAGGAGAGGTTGAGACCTGATGTCTAGCTTTAAAACAGGAAGCAGGTGTCCAGGTGAATGGAGACTTGTTTCTCTGAATTTCAGGGGGAAAGCTGTGTTGTAGGTGTGTTCAAGCCACTGTAGTTTTAACTTAGGCTGTAAATAAGGGTTGCTCTCAGTTGATGGCCCTCAAACCAGTTTTCACCAACCAGAGGGAGCAGAAATATCTGGCTAATCTCCTGATGAAGCACCAACATTCTTTGGAACTCTAGCCTGGGTTTTAAGATCCCATAGTCCAGCTTTGTGCTCTAGGGGTAAGTTGTGTAACCTCAGAAGTGTCAAGTTTCTTCCAGAAGTTTGCCCTCCAAAATGTTGAGGTCAAATAAATAATGGAGGGGTTTGGAACTCAGAGCTGATTCTTTAATCACTTAAAGGGTGAAAGTCCTTCAAGCAGAAGAGTACAGGGTTCTGTCCCCCAGGCTGAGGTTCCAGGTCCCTAAGTTACAGGGTGCAGATGATGACACTGTTTAGCGACCAAAGTCTGACAAAAATGATTGCTACTTTATTGTCTGATGCACCTGGGCTCTTCTGGCTTTGAGATCTAAAAGAGACCTAATCCTTTTATTGGACCCAGGCCAGATGACACCATTTTGCCTCTTCCCCAGGCTTGACCACTATGCCATCATCAAGTTCCCCCTGACTACAGAGTCGGCCATGAAGAAAATAGAAGACAACAACACTCTTGTGTTCATTGTGGATGTCAAGGCCAACAAGCACCAGATCAAACAGGCCGTGAAGAAACTCTATGACATTGATGTGGCCAAGGTCAACACTCTGATCAGGTGAGCCAAGAAATCTGCATGGAGTCAGTAGGTTTCACAGCTTGCAAGCCTTGAGAAATGAGCGATTTCTGCTGTAGTTAGTCCTTTGTATCTATACAGACTTTAGAGGACACATTAGTTCTCCTGCCTCTAGGACTTGATGTATGGAGTTAGTGTTCATTTTCTTGATCTCTATACCTCTAGACAGACAGGCCCTAGAGTAAGATAAAATTTATGTCAGATTACTTGGAGTTAAGTTTTAAAATGTTATATGGTGTTCCAGGTAAAAGGGAGTTGACTTCATTTGTGGCTTGGTGGCATCCCTAGCCTCCTGTGCAAATGCTGGAAAAGACTGACATGGACAAAGGAACCACTGATGTGCCATAAAGACTAGGGGAAGAAGGGAGGGTTTGGGGGCTGTGAGAACAGCGGGAACTAAAGCTTCCTTCATCCTAGGCCCGATGGAGAAAAGAAAGCATATGTTCGACTGGCTCCTGACTATGATGCTTTGGATGTTGCCAACAAAGTAAGCTTCCTTTGCTGTTAACTCACCCCCGAAGTGCAAGTGATGTGTCCATTACTGACCAAAACCTGACTTGCTGATTTAGTCTTAAATGACTGCACCCCTATCCTTAATAGGCCCTTTCCTTGCCTTATTTTTGCTTTTTAATCATGACCTTCCAGCTTAATCTTCACATTTTGTCTCCCAGTAACAAAGCTCCCCTTTTGTTTTTCAGATTGGGATCATCTAAACTGAGTCCAGCTGGCTAAATCTAAATATAAATTTTTTCAACATATATGTTTCTCTGTCGATTTCTGGTTGGGCTTCAGGAAGGCCATACTGTGGTGTATACACACCACAGTAACAAGGCTTGGGCAAGACTCTTGGTCAACTTACCCTGTTGGAACACTCTGCTTTAGTACCTCACCACGCTTGTTAACATTTTAGCAACAGGAACTCAAATATTTGTGGCCCAGATGAGGGTTGGTTGTCTGTCCTAGGACAACTACGATTTGCCACCATCATAGTGGTAGGAGAAAAAACAAGAACCCCTCCCTTTATCCCTGGAAGAGGCTTTGTATGAAACCAGTACACAATACACAATTCTCATTAGCATCCACTTCAGGGCAGTGTGGGATGGCTGCCTTTCATAGCACCTTGTCCCCGCACCCAACCAGCATGTCCAACCGGTCTGTCTGCTTTCCTCACCCCTTGCCCAAGAAAGGACAAGGACTTCGGAGGAGTGCTTTCATTAGCATTTTCAATAGTAGGTGCAGACTTGAAAGGTGGAGAGGTTATCCCCAGGATGCCCCAGGCTTGGGGCTAATTCTTTCATATATGTGTGAGGCTCTGTTCTTGGCTGTGTTTGCTCTTGCCACAAGTTGTAGGCTTTGTGCCTCTCACTCAGTCAAAAACTTGTCTTTGTGTTGCTGGCTGGGGACACGCTGAGGGCAGAAGTCTGAGCGGAGGAGACGGGAAAAGTAGATGAGGATCATGATGTCCAGCATGAGCAGGATACCCAGCAGAAAAGTGCCCAGAGTCCTCTGGCCCAAATAACGCAAGAAGTAGTGCGTGAGGTAGGCCTGAGGGGCCAGGCGGAAGAGAAAGTACATGACCAAATTGACGTATTTGTTGACCCGGTAGAGGAGAAGGTGCTGGGCATTGTTGATCTTCATCATCATGCGGAAGGTGAGGAATATGTTGCTGACCTCCACCAGCAATGTTAGGACTCCCCCACCGACAAAAGTGCTCCAAAAGATGCCTGAAAAGAAGGCACCCATGGCCTAGAAGACACGGGTGAGAATGTGTTAGGGAACCCAGATACCATCAGTTTGTTGAGATACTAGGTAAGGCCAGGGATTGCTGGCCTAAAATAGCCAAAAGCACAAAACAATGCCAACCCTCTGTCCCAGCAATGGGATGTAGGACACAGGTTAGAAATGGGGTTAAGAAAGAGATGGGTCTTTACCTCCCAGGTTCAGACAGACAAGGCTGAGACTAGATTGCTAGCACCAGGCCTACACCATATCCCCTGCGTCTCATTTACCATGACGTGGTGAACCAGGTATTCCCAAGAAGCTCGGGCTTGATGACTAATCACGATGTCCACCGTGTCGTGGATGAAATACCCTAGCAGAGAGAGAGAAAAAGGTCATGAAAAGACCTGAACAAGCTTTTCCCCGTCCCCCACCTACTTAATGCTTTCTGGGCAAGACCTACCTGCGGAGAAGCAAACTAGCAGGTAGCCAGAAAGCGACCATGCCGTCTCAATCTCCACCAGCAACTCCGGGGTCTGCCATATACTGGGAGCGAAGAAAGCAGGCTCTCAACATCTCGGCATCCCTAAGGACCCTCTAATCCCCCATTACCCTTCCCAGTCCCCGGGGATCTGAGCTCGCGCTATTGGCTGACTGGGCAGTGAGGAGAGAGGCCTGGCTGAAACCCAGGTGTCTCCCGTTTCCCAGATGGGATTTTTTTTTCCCCCTCCCCCTGGGTCCTCTGCCGCTCCTAGTTGGAGAGTTTTCCAAACAGGGAAATCAGGTAAGACTACATGGCCTCGGCCTGCCCGAGAGGGATGCGGAGGGTAACGCGGGATCCCTAGCCACCCACCTTCAAAACCCCAGTCCTTTACTCACCACAGCAGCGCCCAGATTCCAGACACGATGGAATGGGCGAAGGAGACGAGCAGGTTGTGCCAGC